TGAGGTGTCCGGTAGGATTGAGGAGGGCATTAAAAAGGGCAGTTCAATTGATAATTCTGATTGATTTTAAAGTATTTCAGAAATATGTTTCATTCATTTAACTTTTTCTCAATAAGAGGATATGTACATTATGCACCAAATGTTTTGCTTGTGGCTGCTGCACTGTTTATGATCTCATCATTAGAAGTATTAGGTCTTTGTGGATAATGTAAAAATATCAGTTGCTCTAACAGGGGAATGTCTGACAAGTTTAGCCATCAAACACCTAGGAAGCTTAGGCATTTATTCATTTCAGAAGAGTCCTTCCTATTTTGTGTTCTAGCCCTTTAATAAGTGTCATTCATGTTTTGAGAAGGGAGCTGAAGCTGACACATTGCTAATAATCTGATCCCCTGTAGTCTAATCTTTCTGCATTCATTCCTAAAACTTGAATGACTTTTCTTACTGAAAATCTAATGACTAATAAGAAAATTCTGGTCCCTAGTCCCTGAGCTTACTTATTAAGTGGATTTGTACAATCAGATATTCTTATATATTTTTGTAAGCAATTTCCTATTTGGAGGCCTTTCACAGTATCAGTTTGTATGTATCAATCATGCCAGCCAATGAACTGTCATTTACCAAGTAATTGTCAATGTAACAGGCAGAATGTTATCCAAGACAGTGAATTCCTGAAACTAGTGCAGTGGAAGGCATCTGCTGGTGTGTGTTAGTTTGGAGCTGTCAAAGCACTACAGTATCCTGCCATATAAGTGTGTGGCTGTGAGCTCCCGGCTTGTGCAGTGTGAAATATGCTGACTGCCTTACCTATATGGCATCTCCTGTCATTTGTTCCACAAAGCTTGTGCTGCTGCACTCTCACTGTGTCTTCTCTTTCCCTGCTCACGAGTGAGGTTTGGCTTATATTTGTTTTCTCCTTTCTTCTCACCAGTGGACCGTATTGTGGGTCTGGATCAAGTCACAGGTATGACTGAGACAGCTTTTGGCTCTGCATATAAAACCAAGAAGGGCATGTTTCGTACTGTTGGGCAACTCTACAAAGAATCTCTCACCAAGCTGATGGCAACTCTCCGAAACACCAACCCTAACTTTGTTCGCTGCATCATTCCAAATCACGAGAAGAGGGTATGTGTTGAGCAAAACATATGTTACTATTTATAATCGATCTAGGTCCACTGCCAAAGATTAAACTGTGAAATTATTGTTTGCTTGATTAGGCTGGAAAACTGGATCCACACCTAGTGCTGGATCAGCTTCGCTGTAATGGTGTCCTGGAAGGGATCAGAATCTGTCGCCAGGGGTTCCCCAACAGAATAGTTTTCCAGGAATTCAGACAGAGGTATTCCTAACTTTTTCTTTTTTTGCATATGTTTCAAAGCTCAATATGAATTAAAACAATGATATAAGGAAACCTTTTTCCTTGTTCCCTGCATAGTTTGTTTTCTTACATAGCAAACATATAGTGAGGCACTGGGAAAGGGACAACCCTTGTTACCTTGAATATTGGTAGAAAGATTGAGTGTTTACTTTATAAAAAGGCAGTGTGCTAGGAACTGCTATGGGTGCTGCAAAGAAACATGTTGTGTTTTCAGGGCCCTGCTTTGAGATAAACATAGAAAGCCAAAAGCTTGGCCAGGCGCAGTGGCTCACACCTGTAATCCCAGCACTTTGGGAGGCCAAGGCAGGCAGATCACGAGGTCCGGAGTTCAAGACCAACCTAGCCGATATGGTGAAACATAGTCTCTACTAAAAATACAAAAAAAATTAGCTGGGCATGGTGGTGCGTACCTGTAATCCCAGCGGCTCGGGAGGCTGAGGCAGAAGAATCACTTGAACCCTGGAGGAGGAGGTTGCAGTGAGCTGAAATTGCACCACTGCAGTCCAGCCTGGGCGACAGAGTGCGAGACTCCGTCTCAAAAACGAAAAAAGAAAGCTGAAAGTTTACAGTTTACTCATTCAGACAGTTCTACCTGGTATCAAACATTATATTTTATTATTTATTTATTTATTGAGATGGAGTCTCGCTCTGTTGCCAGGCTAGAGTGCAGTGGCATAATCTCAGCTCACTGCAGCCTCCGCCTCCTGACTTCAAGTGATTCTCCTGCCACGGAATGAGTAGCTGGCATTACGGGCATGTGCCATCATGCATCATGCCTGGCTAATTTTTTGTATTTTTTTTTCCATTTATTTATTTATTTATTTTTGAAATAGAGTCTTGCTCTGTCGCCAGGCTAGAGTGCAGTGACGTGATCTCAGCTCACTGCAACCTCCAACTCCCTGGTTCAAGTGATTCTCCTGCCTCAGCCTCCCAAGTAGCTGGAATTACAGGCATGCCCCACCCTGCCCAGCTAATTTTTTTGTATTTTTAGTAGAGATTGGGTTTCACCATGTTGGCCAGGATGGTCTCGATCGCCTGACCTCATGATCCACCCGCCTGAGCCTCCCAAAATGCTGGGATTACAGGCCAACCATAATTATTTTTAAAATAGATGATTAATGTATGTTCCTTTTAGGAAAATTTAAAAATACAAGAGAAGTAAAAAAGTAAATAAAAATCATCCAGGAGAGATTCCTGAAAACACAATGGGGTACTTCTTTCCATCTTTTCTCAATGACTATATCTATATGTGTGTGTATGTGTAGTTTTTTGTTTTTTGTTTTTTTTTTTGATGTAGTATTTGTGCACACACATGCATGCAATTGCAGTCTTTTAACTAACATAGGGAAAGGAGTGGATTAGAAAGGATTAAGAAAAAATTAAAAGGAAAAGCTCTATCAACATGCAGTGGAAATGGATACAAACATATGATGAAAACAAGTTTGTTTGTTTGTTTGTTTTTGAGGTCTCGCACTGTCGCCCAGGCTGGAGTGCAGTGGCACAATCTTGGCTCACTGGAACCTCTGCCTCCCTGGTTCAAGCAATTATCCTGCCTCAGCCTCCCGAGTAGCTAGGATTACAGGCACCCGCCAACATGCCTGGCTAATTTTTTGTATTTTTAGTAGAGACAGGGTTTCACCGTGTTGGTCAGACTGGTCTCGAACTCATGACCTCAGGTGATCTGCCCACCTCAGCCTCCCAAAGTGCTGGGATTACAGGAATGAGAGAACGAGTTATTTTTAACTTCTATTTGGTAATTTTCTTAAATATTAGTTTGCTTTTTTTCTTCTTTTTTCTGGAAATCAGATTTCAAAGTATGACACCATTTGTTGTTCCAAATGGTGCTGCCAGGTCAAAGAATGATCCTTGTGCCCTTTCTCCCACTGTTTTAGATAGAATCACCTTCAGAAGCTCTCCCAATCCTTGTGTGTTTTCAGGAAAGCCATCATTCTGATCCCATTTTATGATAAAGTCTAGTAGTTTCATTTTTTGTTGTTAGGAGAAAAAGGGAGTATAATTGGCAGCCAAGATACAAAGTTCATTGATGTAGCCAGGATTCATTCTTTAATATAGCCAGTATCTTTTGTTTTTCTGACGGAGATATAGCTCATATACAGTGAGGCACACAGATTTTAAATGTGTAGCTCATGGCTGGGCTCTGTGGCTCATGCCTGTAATCCCAACTCTTAGGGAGGCAGAGGCAGGAGAATAGCTTGAGCCCAGGAGTTCGAGACCTGCCTGGGCAATATAGTGAGACCCCGTTCGCCACAAAAAAGAAAAAGGAAAAAAAAACAAAAGCGTAACTTAAATGTGCGGCTCAGTGAACCCATGTACGCATATATACCCAGACCAACATCATGTCAGATGTTACCCTGATATTTTCTGATGTTCTAAATAGAAGTCTACGAACACAGCTGTTACAGCCCTTTCTGTTATCTGATAAATGCTACAAATTGACAGTGACTTCAAGTACAGAAAGCCAGATTCTCTTTTGCATCTTGAGGATATGAACATTTTGTGGGAAATGAAGAAAAATGTAAGGTTTCTAAAATGCCATGCTTTTGATTCTTCTCTGCCACAACCTCCTAAATCTACTTTTTGACCTGAAAGAACTAACCTCATTTTTACTTATGAGAAATAGAAACTAGATCTACAGGAAACATCAGATTATCACCAGTTCATTTCTTTACTGTTAATTGTACATGTATTACCCAAAATTTTATGGCCTCTTAGGGCAAAACTCACAGTTAGTAGATACAGATTGTTCACAAATTTCTACAAAATACTTCTTGGAATTTTTTCTTACAGATATGAGATCCTAACTCCAAATGCTATTCCTAAAGGTTTTATGGATGGCAAACAGGCCTGTGAACGAATGGTAAGCTTTTCTTGATTTTTTTTTTTTTTTTTTTTGCTTTGTAGACTTAATCCAATCTTTCTTACAGTAAAAAAGTAAATAAACTCTTTCTCTCTTAGATCCGGGCTTTAGAATTGGACCCAAACTTGTATAGAATTGGACAGAGCAAGATATTTTTCAGAGCTGGAGTTCTGGCACACTTAGAGGAAGAAAGAGATTTAAAAATCACCGATATCATTATCTTCTTCCAGGCTGTTTGCAGAGGTTACCTTGCCAGAAAGTAAGTGGGTATTCACGAATTAATTGTTGACTGAGGATGTGCTTGTGCTAAATAAGCATTGTGTTTTGGGCTAGGGATGCAAGAGTGTGTGAGACATAAAATCTGTCCTTATGGAAATTTCTTTATAGTGGCAGAGATAGGTAAACACGTGAACATTCTAAGTTATGGGATGTGTTGCAATAAGAAAACACACAAGGAGACTGGGGATAGCGGCTCACGCCTGCAATCCCAGCACTTTGGGAGGCCAAGGTGGGCAGATCACTTTGAGCTCAGGAGTTCGAGACCAGCCAGGGCAACATGGTGAAACTCCATCTCTACTAAAAACACAAAAATTAGCCAGGCATGGTAGCACACACTGATATTCCCAGCTACTTGCAGGGGCTGAGGCAGGAGGATCTCTTGAACCCGGGAGGTCAAGGCTGCAGTAAGCCAAGATGGTACCCCTGCACCCCAGCCTAGGTGACAAAGTGAGACCCTATCACACACACATACACACACGTGCGTGCGCACACGCACACACGGGGCCAAGACATAAAACAAAGGGGTTCGGGGTCCTGCTTTAGCTCAAGTCCTCAGAGAATGCTTCTCTGAGGCTGAAACCTCAAGGGTAAGAAGACTGGCCCTGTGAAGGGAGGAGAGAGGAGCTACAGCAGCATCCTGGCAAGAGTCTGGCAGCATCTGAGAAGGTGACACTATCCAGTATGGCTGGAGTAGAATGAGTGAGAGCAAACAAGTTAAGAGAAGAGGCTTGAGAATCAGACGCGGGACAGGGGTTAGAAGTGCAGTGAGGGGAAATCTGTATTGTCAAGGCCACATAACTGCGGTGTGCAAAATCCATTGAGACGGGCCAAGAGTAGAACTGGGAGGGCCAGTTGGGAGGTTGTTTTAGTGATTGGGGTAGAAGATGATGGTGCCTGGACCCAAAAAGGTGGTGTTGGAGGATGAGAGAAACGTTGTTAAATTTGAGATCAAATTCAAAGGGCTTAGAACTGATTTGGGGTTAGAAGGTAATACTGGTATTTATTTCTTTCTACTGAACACTTAGGGTTTGGGAGTGAGAGAAGTTGAAAGATGTTAAATACTTTGCCATCCAGACAGTTTTGAGCAAACAGAATCTGAACACCTGGACTGGAAGTTAGTTCTCTGTAATAATGTCCTCCACACATGGGTTGGAAAACAGCTCTGGTTCCTGGGCAGTCTGCTTGCCCAGACGATGGTCAAGAGGGCTTTAAACAGAAGTAGGTAAAGGCAATACTTGTGGTTTTTTTACCTATAAAATAGAATACGGAGTAAAAAGAGTAGTGTGGAAAGTTGAAGACAAATAGATGATATCTTCTGATTGATACTAAGAAATATTTGACAAGAAAGACTGAAAGACGGGTTTTTATACACTAATATTGAGATCCTATATACATGATAAAGTGAGCCTGTTGATATAGCAAAGGCCCTCCTCACTGTGTCCACTGAACTGCAGAATGCCTAAAATCGCCTAAGGAGTGGGCACTGGCAGGTGCCAGGCTAACTTCATAGAGTTAGCAAAAAATTTGACACCTGGCCGGGTGCAGGGGCTCACACCTATAATCCCAACACTTTGGGAGGCTGAGGCGGGTGGATCATGAGGTCAGGAGTTGGAAACCAGCCTGACCAACATGGTGAAACCCCGTCTCTACCAAAAATACAAAAATTAGCCTGGAGTGATGGCATACGCCTGTAATCCCAGCTACTTAGGAGGCTGAGGCAGGAGAATCGCTTGAACCCAGGAGGCAGAGGTTGCCTTGAGCTGAGATTAGCCACTGCACTCCAGCCTGGGAATCAAAGCCAAACTCCACCAAAACAAAACAACAATAACAACTTATGCCAGAAACATGCTACAACTTTCAAAAGTGCAGGAAATGAAGTATATAAATATACTTTGGTGCAGCTTTTTCATTGATCTGCACATTACTTGCAAAGTTTTCAAGGTAGAAAGTTAAAGATATTTCACTTGCATTATTTCATCTTGAGGACTTAAAACTAACAAATCCATGTAATCGTGTGTATAAGCCAGCATACCTTTGTCTTTGCAGCCCCTACCCCTAAATATTTTAGTCACATTGTATATATGGTAGGCTGGGACTTAAAATTAGGATACATCAATAAAAGAAGATAATCTATTCAAAGGAACCAGATTGTACTGTGGAAAAAGGCAGAATAGTGCTTATAATAGTCAAAAAAAAAAAATAGGTATCTGTACAGAAGTCTATGAACTTGAGGTTGAAGCACCCTGGAGGACATTGGGATAAGGATAAAAAGAGACAAGGAGTGTAAGTGATTTTGAACACTTTCAAAGTCTGCTTTCCAAACACGCAGAGATAGGTTGATGTCACAGAGCTGCCTCATGAAAACCTGGAAGACAGTGCCTGACACACAGGCTCAATAAAAATCAGCCGGCCATGGAGGAGGAAACTGGCTGTCTCATTCCACTAAACAAAGTGCCCGGCATGTTTTTGACTTATCATTTGACAGTTTTATCTCCCAGAGAGCCAAGGAGGCAGCTAGGGCAGTAGTTTTTGCTAAGAAGATTGGGTGAAGTTTTACAGCTTTCCTGAAGGCGATTGCAAGAATTGGAAGGTGGTTGCTTAATAGTTTTAAAAGTCATTTTTGGGGCCGGGCGCGGTGGCTCAAGCCTGTAATCCCAGCACTTTGGGAGGCGGAGGCGGGTGGATCACGAGGTCAAGAGATCGAGACCATCCTGGTCAACATGGTGAAACCCTGTCTCTACTAAAAATACAAAAAATCAGCTGAGCATGGTGGCACGTGCCTGTAATCCCAGCTACTCAGGAGGCTGAGGCAGGAGAATTGCCTGAACCCAGGAGGCGGAGGTTGCGGTGAGCCGAGATCGCGCCATTGCACTCCAGCCTGGGTAACATGAGTGAAACTCCGTCTCAAAAAAAAAAAAAAAAAGTCATTTTTGAAACTGTTGTTTTTGTAGTAGAAACTCTTGGAATTAAGACCTGGCCAATCCTGGCCGGGCACGGTGGCTCACCCCTGTAATTCCAGCACTTGGGGAGGCCGAGGCAGGTGGATCACTTGAGGTCAGTTTGAGGCCAGCCTGGCCAACATGGCAAAAACCTATCTCTACTAAAAATACAAAAAAATTAGCAAGGCATGGTGGTGCACGCCTGTAGTCCCAGTTTCTTGGGAGGCTGAGGCACAAGAGGGATGCTGAGGCACAAGAATTGCTTGAGCCCAAGAGGCAGAGGTTGCAGTGAGCCAAGATTGTACCTGCACCCCAGCCTGGACAGCAGAGCGAGACTCTGTCTCAAAAAACAAACAAAAAAAGACCTGGCCAATTATTTTTGGCTGGTAGGAATAAGTTAGAAGTCTTTGTAAGGAGCAAGAATAAAAACAGTTATGAAGCAGTGGGCTCAGGGAAAATTCTAACTAGCAAGGAGGAATTCATTGGCAGTATACGCAGTTGTGGGATTCTTGCAAGGAAATGTAACAGGTAGGTCATTTCTGCTCTAAAACAGCAATTGTGTGTCTTTTCTTAAGACACACCCACTCCTGATACAGCTGTTTGCTGGAGTGAATGAATAATTCAAAATTTTCTTATTTTTTCCGTCACTTTCAATTGCTTCTCTTTCCCAGGAGAGTCCTATAGCTACTTCTGCAAGCCGTTATAAAAGGACTCCAGAGAAATAATCACAGATTATTTCTTAGGAAGTGCCCAGTTGTTAATTTACTCAGCATACACATTCTGAGGAGGCCTGGAGTCTGTCAGTCACTTGGTTGTGTGCTGGGATCAAGCAAGCCATGATCCCTGCTTCTGAGGATCTCAAGAGTCTAGATGGGAGCATAGCCATGTGAGCAGGCTGTCAGAGTGGAGCATCAGCGCTGTTCAAGGGGTCCAGGAGACTCAGGCCATTCTGGTGCTCTGGAATCCAGGGATGGAATGTCCAGTAGTGGGTAGTCCCCAGAGGAGTGCAGCGCACAAGGCACTTGGCTTTGGCTGAGGGAAAGCCACTGAGTTCTGAGTCCAGGAGTCCTTTGTCAAGGTCTGAAATGCAGCTTCATTAGCATGGTAGGGTAGAAAGCTGACTTCCTGCTGGAAGCCAGGAAGTCGGTAACAGGAACATTTGCCTGTGGATCCTGAAAGTTTCATAAGGGGTTGAAAAAGATAAATTGCGGCCTGGCGCCGTGGCTCACGCCTGTAATCCCAGCACTTTGGGAGGCCAAGGCGGGCGGATCATGAGGTCAAGAGATCGAGACCATCCTGGCCAACATGGTGAAACCCCATCTCTACTAAAAATACAAAAATTAGCTGGGCGTGGTGGCTCATGCCTGTAGTCCTAGCTACTCGGGAGGCTGAGGCAGGAGAATCACTTGAACCTGGGAGGCGGAAGTTGCAGTGAGCTGAGATCATGCCACTGCACTCCCGCCTGGCAATTAAAAAAAAAAAAAGAAAATAGACTTATTATGACAACAGCCATTCAAGCACCTTTTTCTTTACTTCATAAGTTTTTCTTATTGTTCTTCAGGGCCTTTGCCAAGAAGCAGCAACAACTAAGTGCCTTAAAGGTTTTGCAGCGGAACTGTGCTGCGTACCTGAAATTACGGCACTGGCAGTGGTGGCGAGTCTTCACAAAGGTGAGCTTGGCTCACTTCTTTCCAGATCCCTTTCAAATAGCAGAGTTTGATCAGTAAAAACCCTTAGGAAAGAGCTGGGATGATAAACTGTTTAATTTTGTCATAGGTGAAGCCTCTTCTACAAGTTACTCGCCAGGAGGAAGAACTTCAGGCCAAAGATGAAGAGCTGTTGAAGGTGAAGGAGAAGCAGACGAAGGTGGAAGGAGAGCTGGAGGAGATGGAACGGAAGCACCAGCAGGTGTGTGCGGTGACCTTGTAACTCACACTTGGCCCTGAATCCCTAGGAGATCCACACTATACCCACCATATCGTCTTATTTTATGTGAGGCCTTTTCAGTCATTTCCAAATTGTATACATTTTGCCAATAGATTTAACAGATACATTCTGCCTTGCATTTTAGATTTATGTAAGTTAAAAGCAACCTTACCTCTTGCATCTTTGCTTTTGTTATTCATGCTGTCAAGCATGTACTTAACACCTGTTTTAGATGAGGCTCCCAGTACTGTCACCTTCCTGTGTCTGTTTATGAGAGGAAATAGAAAAAAAAGGAAAAAAACGAGATGCTTCAGTAGAGGTTACCACCTGTCCTTCTCTAGCAACAGTGGCCTTGAATGTGTGTCCCTCTTCTGAGCAGCTTTCTTCATGGACAAAGCAGCGGCTCAGGAAACGTTTGTTGTCGACAATAATAGAATTATAGTGTTCAAGGCCAGAAATATTAACAATAAAGGCCAAGGATATCACTTCCTACCAGACAGGCATTAGTAATCACCATGAACTTTATTGCATTTGAATTATATTTTCACTCCCCTATTTATCTGTCCATTGTAAATTACCTTCATAGATAAACTGTAATGAATGTAATATGTACTATTCACAGTAACTTGAGACAACAGGAACAACCCAAAACATTTTCATCTAGCTTATTTTTCTATAGACAAAAACATATTTGAAAGTTTGCCCAGTGATGTTATATATTTTTATCTCCCAGTTTCTTTGCTGTCCATTGACCGTTGAAATCACAGTGAATAGATCCTGTGTACATATGTACTAGGGGCAAATCGTAGACATTTTATTATGATTGCAGCTTTTAGAAGAGAAGAATATCCTTGCAGAACAACTACAAGCAGAGACTGAGCTCTTTGCTGAAGCAGAAGAGATGAGGGCAAGACTTGCTGCCAAAAAGCAGGAATTAGAAGAGATTCTACATGACTTGGAGTCTAGGGTTGAAGAAGAAGAAGAAAGAAATCAAATCCTCCAAAATGAAAAGAAAAAAATGCAAGCACACATTCAGGTATCTATAATAATTTTTACTTAGAAGCGTATTTTGGATTTTCAAGTGGATCTGTTGAATAGATAGAAGCTATGTGTATGGATTCTTTTGTCCACAGAAAAGCAAGAGGATTCTGGGTTATGGGAATCCACCTCTAGAAAGGTGACTACCATTTGAAGCACACCTATCATAGATTTTTTTTTGAACATAGGTTTGTCATTTTGAATAGGAATCTTTTTTATGTTCTGAGTGGCCTCTCACAGTTTGCAAAGAGATTCAAAGTCACAAACCTCCCAGGGTCTGTAGCATTCTAAAGAAGACCTAACTTGTTCTTCATGTTGTCAGTGCTTCTGTTGCTAACTCCATTCATTAGATAGACCTCTACTGCATAGTTTGGCTAATAAGAAATGCTGTGTAATAGGAGATGGCCAAGAGTCAGAATCAGAATTTTTAAAAATTACCCCTTTCCTGGTACTTAACTTTCGTATAGAAATACAAGCTGTAATCACAAGGGACAATTTTTTTGGATTCTGATTGAGACAAATGTACTTTGTAAATGGTCTTTATATTATAGATTTACAGCGTGAAGGTTTTACAAATGAAATATGATGTCTGGGATTTAAAATAACCCTGGGGGAGAAGGTAGAAGGTGGAGGCATAGATTAAATGGAATTGACCATGAGTTGATGCTTGTTAAGGCCAAAGTGATGCTTCTGTGTGGGGCTCATTATGCTGATCTATGTGCTTATATGTGTGTTTCAAATTTTTACAATAAAACACTCATTTTTTGCAAGGGTTTCATTCTAAAATTAACAATGAGTCAATTATTTAGCCAAAGTTACTTTGAACATTTCCTTCAAAGGAAATGTTGGCCATGTATTGATTTGTACAACCCTAGTTCTGGCTTTTTGGGGTTTTTTTGTTTTTGTTTTGGGTGTTTTGTTTTGTTTCTGAGATGGAGTCTCGCCCTTTTGCCCAGGCTGGACTGCAATGGCACCATCTCGGCTCACTGCAACCTCTGCCTCCTTGGTGCAAGTGATTCTTCCACCTCAGCCTTCTGAGTACCTGGGATTACAGGCACCTGTTACTACATCCAGCTAATTTTTTTATTTTTTATAGAGATGAGGTTTCACCGTGTTGGCCACCTGGTCTTGAACTCATGACTTCAGGTGATCCACCCAACTTGGCCTCTCAAAGTGTACGCATTACAGGCATGAGCCACTGCACCCAGCCTGGGTTTTTTGTTTTTGTTTATTTTTTTATTTTATTTATTTATTTATTTATTTATTTCGAGACGGAGTTTCACTCTTGTTACCCAGGCTGGAGTGCAATGGCGCGATCTCGGCTCACCGCAACCTCCGCCTCCTGGGTTCAGGCAATTCTCCTGCCTCAGCCTCCCGAGTAGCTGGGATTACAGGCACGCGCCACCATGCCCAGCTAATTTTTTGTATTTTTAGTAGAGACAGGGTTTCACCACGTTGACCAGGATGGTCTCGATCTCTTGACCTCGTGATCCACCCGCCTCGGCCTCCCAAAGTGCTGGGATTACAGGCGTGAGCCACTGCGCCCGGCCTTTTTATTTTTTTTAATTTTTTTGGAGGGGGTGGGAGCTTTCCAGCAAATAAAAACCAGAAAGCCTGCTAGACAAATTCTAAAAGAGCTGTAACACTTTTTTTAAAATTTTTAATTTTTGTGAGTATATATTAAGTGTATGTGTATATATATATATATATGGGGTACATGAGATGTTTTGATACAGGCATGCAGTGTGTAATAATCACATCATATAAAATGGAGTAATCTATGATCCTGTGTAATAGCATGTTTATCATAAATAGTAATGTAGTTTATAATGATCTGCACGTTCTAGTAAAAATAAGTATAAACTATACCCCCGTCCAGTTTGGTGAAGTGCCCTGCTGTGAAAGGTACACTTGAACTGAGACAGCTCATTTCTCACCACCTGTACTATTTAAATTGTTGTTTTCATGTTTTCTTTCTCTCCTCTTTGGCCAAACATGTACATAGTTGAATTCAGCTAAATTAAATACACATTTGATGAGTGCTACTACATTATTCATGTTTGCCTGAGTTGGCATTATTCCAAAATATGAATTTTAATTGCTATATGTTATTCCATTTCACAAATGTGCCAACATTTAATTACCCAGACCTTTTTGTACCATTTTTATATAAATTGCATCTGTGACAATTTCCTAAAATTGCTGGTTTAAAGGAAAGGCCCATTTTCAAAGCTACATTTTGCCATATTGACTTCTAGAAGGATTGAGCCAGTTTGTACTTTAACCTGTAGCAGATACAGATACAAATGTCTATTTCACATAACTGCATTTCATATCTTTTAAAATATCCTTGGCATTTTGAGAAACCAAAAATTAGTGTCTCATTGTAACGCATTCCTGTGCTCTATGAGTGTGTGGTCACATCTCGAGGAAAAAGTGGCGAGACTGACTGTGTGTTCTTCACAAGGACCTGGAAGAGCAGCTGGACGAGGAAGAAGGGGCTCGGCAAAAGCTGCAGCTGGAGAAGGTGACAGCCGAGGCCAAGATCAAGAAGATGGAAGAGGAGATTCTGCTTCTCGAGGACCAGAATTCCAAGTTTATCAAAGTAAGAGATTGTCCCCACAAAAAGCCAGTTTTAGTTACAGAAAATATTTACATAATATTATGCTGATACACTCACTGAAAGTGACCTCAAACAGAAAATTCTCAAGATTTTGGGTTCATTTACTGAATTTTTCTGTCAGTCTCTACTTGTATAGATTTCTAAAGATGCAGGCACCACTGAATTTTTTAAACCTACCAGATATCCTGATAATCTTTTAGACTTGTAACGAGTGCATTTTGTGCACAGCGGTCACTCAGTGATGACTTATTTCCATCTGTGCAAGCATTAATTCATCCACCATCGGCTGTGGGACTCCGAATGCAAGGCACCTGGGCCAAGCTCCTGGGTGGGCACTGAGACACACCTGTAAGCCTTCCCGCCCTTTTGGAGTACAGTCATGCATTGTTTAACGATGAGGACACGATCTGGGAAATGCATCGTGAAGTTATTTTACTCTTGTACAAACAGAGTGTACTGACACAAACCTAGATGATAGAGCCTGCTTATACATCCAGGCTGTACAGTGTGGCCGATTGCTTCTAGGCCGCAAACCTGTACTGCATGTTACTGTCCTGAATCCTGTAGGCAGTTAGAACACAGTGCTAATAAGTACTTGTGTATCTAAACATATCTAAACAAAAGTACAATAAAAATATGATAGAAAAGGTACAGTTAAAATTATAGGAAAGATTAAAAATGGCACAGTTCAGCCGGGCGCAATGACTCATGCCTGTAATTCCGGCACTTTGGGAGGCCAAGGCGGGTGGATCACCTAAGGTCAGGAGTTCAAGACCAGCCTGACCAACATGGAGAAACCCCATCTCTACTAAAAATGCAAAGTTAGCTGGACATGGTGGTGCATGCCTGTAATCCCAGCTATTCGGGAGGCTGAGGCAGGAGAATCAGTTGAACCCGAGAGATAGAGGTGTGGTGAGCCAAGATCACACCATTGCACTCCAGCCTGAGCAACAAGAGCAAAACTCTGTCTCAAAAAAAAAACAAAGGCACACCTCTGTAGGGCACTCACCATGAATGGAGCTTGCAGGACTGGACGTTGCTCTGGCTAAGTCAGTGAGTGAACGGTGAGTAAGGCCTAGGGCACTGCTGTACATGACTGCAGACTTTATAAACATGGTACACTGAGGCTGCAGTACATTTAATTTAACAATAGAGTCATTTCACTACAGTGTTACAACAGCTCTGATGAATTTTTCAGCTCCATTATCATCTTACAAGACCACTGTCATGTATGTGGTTCTCATTGTCCAGAACATCGTTATGCAGTGCATGACTGTGTGGTCTTCTGGGGGAGGCAGGGCTGTTATTACTTATTTTCTCTCAAGTCAAAGACAGTTGACCTTTATGAGGAATACAGAACCCAGGTGGTTATTTCGAATGGCTTTTCTGAAGCCGTCAATCTTTCCTCTCCAGGAAAAGAAACTCATGGAAGATCGCATTGCTGAGTGTTCCTCTCAGCTGGCTGAAGAGGAAGAAAAGGCAAAAAACTTGGCCAAAATCAGGAATAAGCAAGAAGTGATGATCTCAGATTTAGAAGGTTGGTGTTTGGGGCTAGAGAAATTTAGGACCAGGACATGTGAGTGTTATGTTTAGCTTTTACTGTAATCAGAACATGCAAAAATAAAAACATACATGATGATTACTAATAATAAGGATCATCAGTTTGGGTTGACTTATTAAAATAGGTCTCTTGGCCGGGTGCAGTGTCTCAGGCCTGTAATCCCAACACTTTGGGAGACTGAGGCAGGAGGTTTGCATGAGGCCAGGAGTTTAAGACCAGCCTGGGCAACATAGTGAGATCCCCATCTCTACAGAAAATTTAAAAATTGGCCGGGCACGGTGGCTCACGCCTATAATCCCAGCACTTTGGGAGGCCGAGGCGGGTGGATCACGAGGTCAAGAGATCGAGACCATCCTGATCAACATGGTGAAACCCTGTCTCTACTAAAAATACAAAAATTGGCTGGGCATGGTGGTGCACGCCTGTGGTCCCAGCTGCTTGGGAGGCTGAGGCAGGAGAATTGCTTGAGCCTGAGAAGCAGAGGTTGTAGTGAGCCAGGATCACGCCACTGCACTCCAGCCTGGGTAACAAGAGCGAAACTCCGTCTCAAAAAAAAGAAAAAAAATTAGCCTGACATAGTGGTGCACCAGCTTCCAAGTAGCTGGGGCACTCACTACAGTGTTATGATAGCTATGATGAATTTTTCAGCTCCATTATCATCTTATGATAATGCCTCAAATAGCTGGGGCTACTTGGAAGCTGAGGCAGCAGGACTGCTTGTGCCAGGGGGCTCACTATAGTGAACCGTGATGGTGCCACTGCACTCTAACCTGGGTAACACAGCGAGATCCTGTCTTTAAAAAATAATAAAAAGGGCTCTTATATTTTATTTTGTATTGACTTTTTTTTTTTTTTTTTTTTTTTTGAGATGGAGTTTCCCTCTTTTGTTGCCCAGGCTGGAGTGCAATGGCATAATCCCGGCTCACTGCAACCTCCACCTCCCAGGTTCAAATGATTCTCTTGCCTCAGCCTCCCAAGTAGCTGGGGTTACAGGCATGCACCACCACACCTGACTAATTTTGTATTTTTAGTAGAGATGGGGTTTCACCATATTGGTCAGGCTGTTCTCAAACTGTTAACCTGAGGTGATCCGCCCACCTTGGCCTCTCAAAGTGTTGGAATTACAGGCATGAGCCACCACACCTGGCCTTTTTTAACTTTGGTGCTACGGTAAAAGATACTGCCCTGTGGTGGGCATAGTTGGGATTAAATCATTTGGGTCCTACAGACCACTGGACTTTGTGTTTAATCTAAGCTGCATTAAAGTGCCCAGATTTCACCTGACAAAGGGACTGGCCAGTGACATAAATGCTAGCAGGTACAGAGAAGACACTGCTGTGGGCCACAGTGTAATGTCAGGACATTACAGTTTCTGCAAAAGAAATAAGAAAAGAGGATGGAAGTTGGAAAGAGCAGCTAGACTGGTATCGTCACCAGAGGGAGGGAGCTCTGTGCAGGCACCTGCAGGCAGGTGCCCACTCTTTCTTAATGTGTGCTTTTATGATAGGAAGAAGACAGGGTTGGCTTCTTAAAAATATTTGGGATTTTGGCCGGGTGCAGTGGCTCATGCCTGTAATCCCAGCACTTTGGGAGGATGAGGTAGGAGGATCATGAGGTCAAGAGATCGAGACTATCCTGGCCAACATGGTGAAACCCTGTTTCTACTAAAAATACAAAAATTAGCTGGGTGTAGTGGTGTGCACCTGTAGTCCTAGCTATTTGGGAGGCTGAGACAGGAGAATCGCTTAAACCCGGGAGGCAGAGGTTGCAGTGAGCCGAGATCACGCTGCTGTACTCCAGCCAGGTGACAGAATAAGACTCCATCTCAAAAAAAAAAATTTGGGGGGTTTTGTTTGTTTGTTTTAGTGTAAGTTAAAGAGGAAATGCCAGTATGAAATTACTTTCGTAAACCATTTGTACTAGTATATGGTTTTTCTGCTGAGGAAGTACCCATAAGCATATGTGCTGTTTTTCTTACCTGTTTGATCAGCCTGTGACACTCTGCCTCATCCTCTCAGCAAATTGGTTCCTGCTGGAGAAGACAAAAGCATGCAGGTCATTGTGAGGAAATAAATCATTCAGTGAAATAGATCACCAGGGCTAATTGAGGGATCACTGCAGAATTTTAGAGGGGAGGGTGGAAAAGATGTCTGCCCTCTCTGTCCACTCTTCTGTCTTCTCTCTCCCAGTACTTGAGGATGGCAGTTTTCTTGGTTCAGACCAGGGGTTCCGATGAAAAACGGGGTGACAGGCAGCTGTGACTCTTGCCCCAGCACATGCTGAGACACTTTGCAAACCTGGGCCCAGTGATGGGTTTGACATGAGAAGATTCCAGATCCCTTCAGCTCTCACAGTGTGGTCTCACCTCCCATGAAAGTACATTCTTAGGACACTCAATTCCTTCCCTAAAATTCCTTCCCTACACAGATTTATCTCCGCTTCAGATCTTGGTGGGTTTGAAATAACTGAGCCATTGACATCAGGGCATGACCATGTCATCAGGGCAGTGACATGCTTTTGAATAAAATGGCTTATTTTCAACTTTGATCAGTTTAAATTTCAGTTTATTCATGTGTTGAGTCGCTCAGTGTGTTGAAGAGCTTCTTATATCTTGCCTTAAAGAACGTTTAAAGAAGGAAGAAAAGACTCGTCAGGAATTGGAAAAGGCCAAAAGAAAACTCGACGGGGAGACGACTGACCTGCAGGACCAGATCGCCGAGTTGCAGGCGCAGATTGATGAGCTCAAACTACAGCTGGCCAAGAAGGAGGAGGAGCTGCAGGGCGCGCTGGCCAGGTCTGCGGCCACAGCTGTGTTGCGCAGGACCCCGTGGGGCTGAGTTTCAGCAGACTTCATTATATTTGGGAGCATCCAAAAACCCTGGGAGAGTGAGATGGGGTTTACTTGCTGTTGGGTGTGACCTGTGAAAGTGAAAAGCCCAGGAGTATAGAATTTGTGTCAGGGCAGCAAGAAAGTCTCATAAACCAGCCAGTATTTATACTTTAAAAAAATGACTGTATTATGAAACCCTTGGAAATTCACACCAGAACAAATTATTTCACTATAACAAATGTTTTGGTCTCTGCATTACAGATTAACTGTGGTATGTTTTATTTATTTATTTATTTTTGAAGACAGAGTCTTGCTCTGTCATCCAGGCTGGAGTGCAGTGGGGCAATCTCGGCTCACTGCAGCCTCCACCTCCCGGGTTCAAGCAACTCTCATGCCTCAGCCTCCCGACTAGCTGAGATTACAGGTATGCACCATTATACCCGGCTAATTTTTATATTTTTAGTAGAGATGGGGTTTCACCATGTTGGTCAAGCTGGTCTCAAACTCCTGACCACAAGTGACCCACTCACCTCAGCCTCCCAAAGTGCTGAGATTACAGGTGTGAGCCACATGCCTGACCTATAGTATGTTTTAGAACTTGAAGGGAAATCGCTTTTCAGAAATTGCATTTCTCCACTGATAGCATGATTCAATAATCGGTTCCAAACCATTCAGTTTAGAATGTAAATCAGATATATTTATATCTAATGTTTCATTTCTTTATAAAGAATAACTATTTGGCTACATGGTTGTACTACTTGGAGTTTGTAATGTGTTACAATCAAAATCTTTCAAGAAAAATCTCCCTCACTTCAAACATCCCAACTATTTCCAATCAGGAAATTCTACCAACATTTTAAACCACAGACATAAGCAAAAAGATGCCCTATGGAAGAGAGGCACATGAGGGGTAAGGATGAGAGCCTCTTTCTTCCACTGTGTTCTTTGAGCATCTCTGGTTTGGCTGGGTTCTGGTGTGATGGATGAGGTCTCCCCTTCATAGTTATAAGCAGATTTCTAACTATAACAGCATTTGACTTCAGAGAAAATATTTTAGTATTCTAAGGCGTAAAGTAAGAGTGTCCTACCTTTTAATGGAGAAGGATGGTTGTTTGGAAAGGGGGCTGGGCTGGAATCTAGTTCTGGCTCTGCCACCAGTAGCTTTGGGGCCTTCAGAAAGTCTTCCAGCTGAGGTGCTGAGCATCTGCACCAGTCTCAGGCCCCAGGAAGAGAGGGATGTGAGACTGGGGTCTCCTCATGGTGAAGTGCTCAGGGGCTGGCTCGCCTGAGAAACAGGCCATCCACGTGCCCATCTCTGAGTGCCTCTCGTGCTGGGTGTTTTAACAGAGGTGACGATGAGACACTCCATAAGAACAATGCGCTCAAAGTTGTGCGAGAGCTACAAGCCCAAATCGCTGAACTTCAGGAAGACTTCGAATCCGAGAAGGCTTCACGGAACAAGGCAGAAAAGCAGAAAAGGGACTTGAGTGAGGAGCTGGAAGCTCTGAAAACAGAGCTGGAGGATACACTGGACACCACGGCAGCCCAGCAGGAGCTACGGTGAGTGCAGGAGAGGGAGCAGGGCCCGGGCCCCCACCCACCTCCCCGAGCCCACGCAGAGGTGCCTGGGTGTGCTTGCTGTCTTTGGGAGGCATTGTGTTTTTCCTCATGATGACAGGTGGAATGGTGATTAAATAGTAATGGTTAGAAACAGTCCAGCCTGTGGGTAGAAACACCTGTGCAGGTATGGGTGGGTGGACCAGCAGACTGAGGGACACTGAGTGAGATGGGTGTGATCAGAAAAGCCGTGGCCAGTGATGGATGTCTAGGGAGAGACAGGGACAACTACACAGAGTGGGGCACGGTGAAAAGAGATTTATAGATAGCGATAGATAGGACCAGAGGGAGAGAGCGGTAAACACAGGAATAGGAGGAGATACCCAGGAGGCCAGCCATGTGCTGGCAGTGCCAGGTGGTGTGAACAGTGTAGGTAACCAGCTGAAAAGGGAAGGGTGCCTTCATGGGTGAAAAGAAGGCTGGCGCAGGCACTGGGACAGAGGTAGAGGTAGAGGCAGATGCAGTGTCACGTGCCAGCAGCCCAGGCCAGCATGAAAGGTGATAAGCATAGGTGAACATGGCTAGAGAAGGCTCCTGGGTAGAAAGCTGCAGCGTGGCAGCCCAGGAGTCACAGGAGAGTGTAGCAGTGAGCCAGCACGCAAGCCTGGAGGCGCTGGCCTGCGCCTCCCACAGACTCAGGTGTCATCACTGTGGAGAGCATTGTGGGGGTGTGCCAGCTTGCTGTCTTAGCAGATGCCATCTGCTCCCTCCAAGAGTCACACTGCCTGGAGCCTCAGGGCCACCCCGGGAGTCCCAGCCAGAAGGGAACCCTCGCTGCCTTGGCTGGCTGCAGGCACACCTGCTGGCTCTTCCAGGGTGTGAATGATGGAAAGAATAGCCCATCACCCTGGGGAGTTGCTGGGGTCTGAAATAAAACAAGAAAGACAGAAGGATTGTTTATGAACACAAGTGTGACCAGAGAGGCAGAAAATGACCCAGAGCAAGCAGGAGGGAAATGTGTTGTGGTGAAAACCAGTGCAGTTCCCCGGAGGACAAGGATGTCATCAGCTGTGTCCACCCAGCAGCTGGAAACCTGGGCACTTGGTCATGGAAAGAATGACATCTTGGTGTCTACAGGGCAGGCCGGCTCGGTAGAGCAGTGAGACTGAGGTCAGATGTTGAGTGTGAGGAGGTTCTCAGTGGTGGAATACGGAGGCGGTGAGCCTTGTAATATTTGTCCATGGTCTTTGCCATGAATATGTACAACTACAGCAGCCGCAGAGGTTGGTTGGTTGGTTTTTGTCTTCATCTTTTTCCTAGAGGGAGGAAAAAGCCCCTCTGAGCCAGACATGGTTCAAGGATTCCTGCCCCACTCTAGCAGAGTCACTGTTGTTAGTAGTTTAAGTCCTGGCCTTCTCTTTGAAATATCTTTTTTAAAATCTAGAAACCACTGAACTAGACTTTGCTGAACACTCCCAGCTGGGCTTTAGACTGCAGTAGAAAAAAAGGTTCTGATCATTTTTCCCATCCAACCCTTGCAAAAAAATTAATGTGCATATTTATTAAAACCATGTGTGTGCTCAGCTGTAGCACTCATTGATTCTGTTTTGCCTACAGCTCAAATGTGTACTCCATTCTTGCTAAGAACCTTTAGAGAACACAACCACCCTCCCTGCCTGGGCCCTGGTTCTTCCCGTGATTAGTATAAAGTAATAGTCCTCTGTAAATCATATACTCTTCCACAGACTCACTGGCATTTTAACTCTTTTGAGGACTTTTGATGAAAGACTAAAAGAAATTGGGTTATTCAGCCTGCAGGAGAGAAGGTAAAGGTTTCCTTTGACTATTAAATTCACGTAGGGAATAGGAACAGAATAATTTTCCCAAAAGACAATGAGCTGATAGTTGGAGAGATTCCCCTGGAGTCTGATCAGTGAAGCACTGGCCACTAGAGTAAACTGAAATAATCTTGATGGGAGCCTTGCAGAGGACAGGACCAGCAGCACACGTCTTTGACCTCTGGCTGAGCCAGTGGAACCTGGGGCTGAGCTAGGCTAGACCACAAAGAATCCTCAGTGATTCCTTCTGGCTGGGCTACATGTGACCATAGAGTTGGCAGTTGCCAGGCCCTGTTCTCTTGGCACTGGGATCTCTTAGCCAGCCCCTGTGTCTCATGACTCCAGAAGAGAGGAAAAGAGAGGGGAAGAGAGAGAAAATGTGTCCACATGGGAATCAGTGTGTGAATCACTGTTCTAAGTTGTGACATGTTTTAAAGTATAGAGCAAGTTTGCTAGTGATATGCTTCAGGATTATTGTGAGGTTGTAGCTAATTCTACTTTGCTAATATAGGTCTTAGCAGGAGTGCCGTTTACCTGACTGGCTTCAGTCTTCATCAAGTGTGTGCTTAAACGCAGTGCTCAGATTAACAAATTTAGAGTGACTCCCCGTGGGGAGTAAGATCTCTTCTAGACAGTGAATAACTCACATTATTCAAGTTTCCCTGTATCTATTACAGCAAATTTTAAAAATGTTAGAAAGTCATGGAAAAATATTTAATGCTAATGTGATCTTCATACCATAGAGTGCAGGTTAGATAACCTCAGTTTGCATCAGAACGTTCAAGTTCTATGGCCATGGACCTGCTGCGTTCTCATATCAAACATCAGAGACCCTTTCTGAATCCTTTGAGCTGCCTTCTAATTTTCCTGCCTCTCCAAAAGATAATGCCCTCCTCCCCAAACTTAATCCGTTTTCTAGTAGAGTTTTGGGAGAATGTTAGTTAATTGTGGCTTCTTCACATGAATGCTAAAAGTCTTGCTTTTTACAGCACAAGGTGCTGATTCATTTGGCCTTTGCCACCCCTTCACTTTTGAAAATCTCTAAGAGATTACCTTTTTCCAGTTGTATTCAAGTCTGTTGGGGCTGTAGCAGGCAGTTTGGCATCTTATGTTAACCAATTCCTGACCTCCAGTGAAACCAGACTGTCCAGAACAATTTGAAGACCCCTAGAGATGTCATCCTGGGTCTTGATAAGTCAGATATGGCATAGAAGTTGCACTGCTTTTTCTTTTTTAAAAGATAGGGTCTCACTGCCCAGGCTGGCGTGCAGTGATGTAATCATAGATCATTGTAGCCTCAACCTCCCAGGCTCAAGCAATCCACCTTGGCCTCCCAAATTGCCAAGATTACAGGCGGGAACCACTTCTCAGCCCTCTAGGAAGATTTCTGATATCACAATAATAGACCTGCCAGCATTCTGGAAATAGCACATCAAAAAATTTTTTAAATTTAAAGGAATTTATGTCATATTTAAAACAACGGCACTTTTTCAAAAAGAAAATGTGTTTTTAATCAGTCAGCCAATTCTGATCGTTCTTAAAAAATGTCTTTCCCTAGTACAAAACGTGAACAAGAAGTGGCAGAGCTGAAGAAGGCTCTTGAGGAGGAAACTAAGAACCATGAAGCTCAAATCCAGGACATGAGACAGAGACACGCAACAGCCCTGGAGGAGCTCTCAGAGCAGCTAGAACAGGCGAAGCGGGTAAGGGAGACCCTGCCTCGTGCTGTGGCCTGGAGAAAATCCGCCGTCAGACCCACTCCCATCCTATCTGGCCGTTCCATACAGTCACGTGTTGATTAGGGCCCAACCTCTGTACGTCATTGAGTGGGCTGCTGGGTACCCAGCTGCCAAGGCAGGAGCGACTTTCTGAAAGCACACTGCCTACTTAGGGAGAAAAGGCACACACAAATGCGTGGATCCAGCCGCCATCCCAGATCACATAGTCCTCCCCAGTGCCTCCTCTCACTAAATCATTCTCCGTGGCTTCACTTGAAACCCTGAATGTTTTGAAAGTCATTCTTCCCTTGCTTGTCTGCTGCCAGTAAGCCACAGGTCCTGCTGACATCCCCCTTCAGGGGTTCCTGACATTCCTCTCTCCCTTCTTGTTCTTCACTGCCTGTGATCTCACCTCAGCCACCAAATGCAGTGTTGCCATTCATCTCCTTGTTCCCACTTCTGTATCTCAGATCTAGGCTTTCTGTTCTGCTGAAACTTACACCCTGGGACTCACGCCACCCTCCTGACAGGCCTCCATTACTTCCCATAATATTTGCCTTCATGACTTGGTTCTTGCTTCGCTTCCCCCATCTTTCTATTCTTTGCTTAGCCACATGCTAGCTTTTAATGTGGACAATGACAATATTAACATTCATGGAACATTTACATTTGTGTCAGGTACTGTGCTAAGTAAGCACCCTACATGAATTGCCTTCTTTAATCTTTGCCACAACCCTGTAGTATGCCTCCTATAATTCTCATTTAAAAGACAAGGACACTGAGGCCCAGTGGTGTTAGGTAATTAAGCCAGGCCACACAGCTGGTTTGTGGAAAGGCAGCTTGAAGCCAGACAGTCTGGTCCCAGATTCCCATGTAGCCACCCTACCACACCTGATCTTGTTCCTGAGGCAGGATGTCATTGGAGATACATCCTGTTGTGACCCACCCCTGCACCAAGGGTGCTTGCTCGTGTTAGTAAGTATAAAACAATTTTTTACACTAACAACACTTGTTGTACAAAGGACAGTGTGAGTGATTACTCTGCAGACAGGACACACTTTGCATTGACAAGGATAATTACTTAGTACAGTGAGCCCCTACATATCTGCATCCGCTCCTCAGCAGGATGTACCCGTGTGTTCCTTATGTAGGAATCCTTACACTCAAAGAATAGCAAACATTTTCATCCATTCATTCAACAAACGTTGATTACAGACTCACTGAATGTTAGGCACAGTTCTGCAGACTCAGACAGCAGTCCTGAGTATGGAGTTTTATAAAATAACTAGTGAATTATTTTTTTCCTTTCCATCTCCTAGTTCAAAGCAAATCTAGAGAAGAACAAGCAGGGCCTAGAGACGGATAACAAGGAGCTGGCGTGTGAGGTAAAGGTGCTGCAGCAGGTCAAGGCTGAGTCTGAGCACAAGAGGAAGAAGCTGGACGCGCAGGTGCAGGAGCTCCATGCCAAGGTCTCCGAAGGCGACAGGCTCAGGGTGGAGCTGGTGGAGAAAGCAAGTAAGCTGCAGGTAAGCCAGAAACCTCCGTCCCACCGTAGCATGACCCTCATTGACCATTTTACCCCTCTGTGCAATAAGAGACGCATGGCCAGTGTGCTGTGCAGTACCTGAAAATGACTAGCCAGTAAACACATCGACTCTTAGGTGTCCCTAGTGTATACTACTTTGATGAAGTTAAATACTATTTTAAGAAGACAGCATGAATTGGACATAATTAGTTCCACTTTGAATTGTGTTTATCGTTGCTTGGACGGTTTGAAGCACTTCAGCTTCTCTGTTAGTCCAGTAAATGAGAGAACAGGAACAATGGGCCAATACAGTTCGACCTCACGTTGGCAAAGATTTTCGAGAGTTTTATTCTCTACACTGCTGGTACAAATTAGTGCAACGTTTTCTAAAGGATGGTTTGGCAGTCTTAGGTCATGAGCTTCGAAACTGGGAGTATCCTTAGACCCGAAAAATCCATGTCTAGTCATTTATCCTAGGGAAATAGCTAGGGATGTACACACAGAATCAACCTCAAGAATGTTCATTGCAGAAGTGTGTACAAAAATACATACAGTCAGCCCTCAGTATGCACTGGGGGATTGCATCCAGGACCTCCTACAGATGCCAAAGTCTGCAGATGCTGGAGTCCCTAATAAAAAGGGCATCATATTTGCATCCATGCACATCCTCCCATATACTATAAATCATCTCTAGATTACTTGTAATACCTAAGACAATGTAAATGCTACGTAAATAGTTGTTACACTGTATTTTTTAGGAAATAACAACTCAAAAAAGTCATGTTTTTAGGAAATAACATGTTGTCAGGAAATAACCCAAGAGTCCTGAGCTGTACCTGTTCAGTGCACATGCAGGGTATTCTTTCTGAATATTTTTAAGGCATGGTTGGTTGAATCCACAGATGGAACCTATGGATAGGAAGGGCTGACTGTGCTTTGAAATAACTTTAATGTTCCATACGGACTTCCGTGCAACCAGCAAAAACAATATAGTCGAGTCCTCATTGGTATGAAAAGATGTACATCATGTATTGCCACATTGAAAAAGCATTACAGAACTGTGTTGTGTCAGAGGCCCAAGAACACACTACAGTACATGATTCTTCAGGACTCAAAGGACTCCACAGAGAGGGCTGCTCATGGCAATGATTTATTACAGTGAAAAGATACAAAGCAAAATCAGTAAAAGGGCACA